GGGCGGGGATCGGCGGGGCTTGGCGGGGACGGCCCGCCGGTCCCGTCAGGTGGAGTAAGGCAGAGTAAGGTGTCGGACCCATCCGACGCGGGCACAGTCGCACGGGCGACTCGGCGGTGCAGGCACGGGGCTCAGGTGTACACCGGACACCCGCGAGCTGCTCGCTGCGCCCTCCCGCTCCCCCGACATGGTGTTCCTCAGGGCGCCCCCCATGCTCTTCCTGGCGATGCTGGCGGCCGTCGCGGTGGGCTCCCCGGGTGCACGGCTCAGCCCCTCGACACGGCAGCAGGGCTCGCCCCCTCTCGGCGCCCCCGCCGGCCCTGGGCCCGCCCCTGTGCCAGCTGCGCCGAGGGCACCGAGGGGCAACGCGACGGCGCCGCCGCGGGGCAGCGCGCCCCCGCCCCCGGCGCCGCGTGCCGTGCGCGCCCCGCTGCAGCCGCCGCGTAGGGAGAAGATCATCTTCGCCGAGGAGTTCAACAAGCTGGACCCCGCCGTGTGGTCGCATCTGGTCACCGCCTGGCGGGGAGGCAACCAGGAGTTCCAATACTACAGGAACGACCGCCGCAACAGGTGAGTGCACAGCCAGTCTCCCCGCGGTGTACGTACGAAAAATTTTATTCCGTCACTAGTCCGTTTTCGGTCCGGAAAGAAGCCGGCTGGTCAGTCCAGCGAGCGCGGACTGTGGTCCGCGAAAAAAGTTCAGGTCGACCGTAAACCGCTTATAGTTCGCATCCCCCCGCCTTACCGGATTGATATCGCGTACCGTTCTGGTCCCCGCGCTTAGAGCAAACTAAAGCGGCGACGGCCGTCGCCAAACATGGAAATAAACGCTGATAACGCGTGTCATTGGAATGCTGGAAAATGTCCAGCCTTTCGATCAGAAACAGTTGAACCCATTGAACCCACACGAGGTATACCTTCCCCTCGAAGTCTTTGTCGGTCTGCACGCCGCGACGTCGTTTCGCACTTAGCCGTCCCGCAGGGGATGGGCCGGATCCGGCCTGACTGCGTGACCCGAGAAATGGGTGGCTCCAGTTCGCTATGAACAAGCAGTCGTTTTAACCCTTTTTGAAGTTGAAATTGAACGCCGACGTCGTTTCGGTCCCGCCTGGGCCGCCTGGGCCGCCTGGGCCGCAGCAGCGTTCAGCGGCCCGCGGGCCTTGGGACTTCCTGGAGGAGCCCCGCGAGTGTGTGGTGTGGTCGTGCGGTGGTGCGGCGGGTCCACGGCAGTGATTATGTGACAGCGCGCCGCCGGGAGCCTCTCTGCTCTGCCATTCATGAGCGCGGCTTGGCTCTTGACCCTCCTACACGCCATGTCTGCGCCCATCTCATGAAAGATGATCAACTATACAGTGTTCGAGTACCAGACCAGAGGGGGGCCTGCGCCTGCCGGTGGCCAGCGCGGCCCGGTGCGGCCCAACATTTAGAAGGAGGGTCATGCCCCACGCCAGCCCCGCCCCGCCCCGCCCCGCCCCGCCGTTGGCCTTCTCGGGCATCTCAAGTCAGCTCCATAATTATAGCTCTCATCCCCTTCGAGACGAGCAGACCGGCCCGCGCGATCCGTCTTATCTCAAATTAAAGCAGTTCGGACCAGCAAATTTTGATTCACGACGAGAATGCACACGATCATGATTGGCGTGCCGTCGTCGTGGTTCCCCTCCTCCCTAATAGTGAGAAGGCACATGACTGTCGACACGATTTTAAAAGTCAACAACTCGAACGCGGAGTCGACAGAATATCGGTATCGTTTTGACCGTCAAGTGGGACTGCTTTGCACAATTCTTGGAACAGGTTTCTCAATGGCCACGGCTCATAGGGAATGACCATACGCGTCGCGACGAGCGCTGAGTCCGCTGCTGCGAGTCCCTACGTTATTTGACCCGCCGCAAGTGGTCATGGTGTGGGCTATAAGAGTGGGGTGGGGTCGAGAAAAGGTAGGAGGGTGGCTGGTGCAGAGGGTGGCAGCAGCGCCCCGCGCGGTGGCTGGTGGGCCTGATGGGTGGTGAGGATCGCGGCTGTTGACGGGTTCGGGGCAATGCCCCTCCCTGGATCCTCCGGCCCGCGAAAAGGATCCCCCCCAACGAACGAGAGATCCCCGGGGGCGGGGCCGGGGGCGGGGCGCGGGGTCACTGACTGCGCGAGCTTGTAATCGGTGCTCGCGCCATTATAAAACAAACGGCGAATAGAGACGGCGCGGGGCCGCCGGCTGCTCGGACTTGATGCGAACACCGCTCAGCTGAGCGTCGCGCGCGCCGTGCCCGGGACCGTGCCGGACCAGGTCGGACCTCACGGACCTCACGGACCTACAGGGGGAGCAGAGACGCAGACGCGGATCAAAGTCCTTCCGACGGGCGTGCGCGGTCGTCGTCGTCGCTGTCGTCGTGGTGTCCTGCTGCAACACCATTGAGTCAGTACGTAGCGTCGCGCAAGTGGAAATAAGATTTGTTGTCTCGGCAGACCATTCGCACCTTGGAACAAACTCGGGGGAAAACAGGCAAAACGTAGTACGGCTGGGCGCGATCGAGGCAGCTGGCTGCTCCTCGCCTCAGCTACATCCCTCCTAGGGCAGGGTCCCTAATGGCGTGCGAGTAGGCAACCCGCTGGCACGCCCGCAAGCCGGTACAGCATTCACTGGGGTGCGTTTGGATAAGGCAAAACAGGGCGGCTGGGTGATCGAGTGAGCGATCGATCTGCGCTCTGCGCCGGTCGCTCGATCGGTCGCTTGGATCCCCCCGCCGCCCTCTGTTTTTCCTTATCCGAACGCGCCTACTACAAACGCCCTGGTTGGCGAGCGTATCCACCGCGCACTATATCGGCTCATACACTATGCGAACTCATTCCACCGTGCATTTGGTCGTGCGTTTTCTCTCGCCTAGTGCCAACAGGCGGCGGCGTCCCACGAGTGCGACAAGGACAGGGTGTTTGTTCCCGCAATTAGCCGTGGGGTGCGCTCTCTCCACCCTCTCCCTCGTCCGGGTCTGGCCGGGTCTGGCCGAGGGAGAGAGGTCAGTAGGTGAAGCGGCCGGGAGCGCCGATAGACGACGGGTAGCGGGAGGGAAGGGGGGGGGGGAGGGTCGCATCGGAGGCAGATTCCTCGAGCGCGCCGCTCACTCGTCTCTCTCGCACTTCTTGGGAGAGAGGGAATGCCCTCGCGCGGTGCCGGACTGCCGCACGGCTTTGTCTGTAAGTTTGTTCTGTTTATTCCACGATGACGCACCATACTCCACGCGTCCTGGAGCGTGTGGCGTACTCCCCTCCGCCTGCCTCCTCGACGCCTAATCTCCCTGTTCCTCCAACTCGTTACGATGAGTTGCGTTCGTTCGATAATTACACTGCTTCGCGCTCTTTTTATTTCCGTCTGTTTGTGTGTGTGTGACTGCTGCGGCTGCACCGGACACGTGCGGGGCCACTAATGGGCCGGCTATCAGCCTCCCGCACCTGCGTGAGTGAGTGAGTGAGTGAGTGAGTGAGTGAGTGAGTGAGTGAGTGAGTGAGTGAGTGAGTGAGTGAGTGAGTGAGTGAGTGAGTGAGTGAGTGAGT